TATGTATGTATTTATAAGTAGTTTTGTTCTTCAACCCTTATTCTCATGGTCCTTGTATATAATCTATTATCACTGAAAATAAATATTCTTTATAATCAAACTTACTTTACAAGTTACTGTATGATTATTGTTTCATTATTAGAATTTGAGGGCAAAAAAAACCCCTACATTAGAGTAAGTCATCTATCTTCTGTAGATTTTGTGGACTTCTTGTTTATTTGTTAGCCTGTTTTTGGATATTTTACTTTTCACACTATGCGCACAATACTTTGAGGGTTCAAAAACATTTAATACAGAGCTGGCCTTCGTCTCCTTGGAGCCTTAAACGCAGTTTGATTTTGAGGCCCTCTGTGTCTGCCAATAATATCTATTTCTGCACTCACCAGTGCATTAATCAGATCATTTACACACCAGCTATAAATATGAATGAATTGAAGCTCTTGTTAGGCTATTTTCTGTCTCTGTATTCATTATTTAGTGTAAAAAGTAAAATAAAGTAGTACGCAGTTTATTTACATTTAATGTGTCATGTGGTTTGAAAGTTTTGGTTCTAAACTGCAACAGCAATGTGCAAAAATAACCTGTAGTTCAAGAACAACAAAAAACCCAACTAAAATTGCTTCCCTAAATAGAAACAATAAATTCAAATGCACAGAAAAATACATAGTAAAAAAAATAATAATAATAATGAAAAAAAAAATAAGGAAATGTTCCTGGGGGGTCTAGTTGCCCTGGGGCCCTAAGCAGTCGCTTAGCTCACTTATGCCTTGGGCTGGCCCTAATTAAAGGTAATCACACAATCAGGTTAGTATCAAAATAGACACTTTATTTCGGGCTATCACAACTTCCACTTTGGTTTGCCACAGAAAACATATTTAAAAGGAAAAAAAACAGAATTACTGCAGGTCAATAACACAGGAGGACAAAGTCAGCAGGTAAAAAAAAAAAGCATAATAGTGATGGGACACTTCTACTTTCTCTTCTGGAGCTCTTTGGCTAACACATCCAACTGTGAAGAGAGTCATTTATCAAGATGTTAGGCTGAGGCACATTTTTCCTAAAAACAAGGAGTGGTTTATATTTTATTGCTTAAAATACAGTGTTGTTTATTTCCAAATTAAATCATTTTTAATTTCTGTTCACTTACAACAATGTCTCTCAGGGTATTCCTCCTCTGCGGTCTCAAATAGCTGCATTCTCCTGCCTCACACAACTTGATTTCCTCTGACATCTAAAGAAAACATAAAAAAAAACAGAGTGGGGGTCTGACCATGAGAAAAAAAAAAATACATAAAACAAACATAAAGCTAAATATTCCCAAATAATAACATAATGACTGAAAAATTGTAAAAGAGCAAACATTGTTTTTAACCTCTGATGCCCCAAAGGAGTCCAGCTCCCTTTTCCCACCGGGGTACCAGCCATGGGACCAGTGCTGGGCGCAGGAGAGCTGAGCGCCAACACACACGAGCAGCACCAGCATCAAAACCAGTCGGGACATGATTCTCACACCTGAAAGACATAAAGGAAAAACATTCATGCTAAAATTTTCTATCAGCTAAAGTTCTTTTTAATCTAGCTTTTCCATTGATAACAAACGTAAACATTTTTTTGAAAATAATCCCAAAGTATGCTATAATGATGTTCTAATTTCTATTCTTGACTTTTTTTCCCACCATACAAGCTCTCAAACCTTAAATTAGGTACACCTTATTTTGCTTGACAGATTAGATGTTAAATCTGGCCAAGGGAAGGTTTCCATTACAACAATTGACTGGAAATCATCTTACCTTCAGTTCTCACACCTTAAAGATGAGATATTCTTAAAGGCTGCTGCTGTAACTGAATGAAGGGTCCAACGTCCTCAGTACCCAAAGATGTAATTTTTATATTTCTCTCCAGATTCTTCCTCCTCCTTAGTTTATATACCCAATTCCCAATACGCATGGCATGCCCGTTACTGACCCCTTTGTTTTACTGTGCTCCTACAATTAAAATCAAGGGTCCCTGAGGACAGTAGGTCCACAAGACCTGACCATTTCCAATTATCTCCTGCAAACAGTTCTGAACGCCAAGAGGTGCTAATCCAAAGATGTGACACATTAAAACTTTAATTCATATTATATGAATTTCAGAAGGGATTGTTAAAGCTTTGTCAGAAAACATTCTGTGTTATTTCTACTTTCAGAAAAGCGCTTAGAAATACAAGGATGAAAGGCCTATATCTTGTATTCAACGTTGACATTTTTAAAAATTAAAATAAATAAATAAATAAAATTGTTATTTAATTTAACAATCCGTTGGCTGTTGTCTGTTCTGTTTAAACAAACGTTTTTTGTTTTTAGAGTCGGATTGCCCTTGCAGCTCTGAAAAGAATGTGTTTGCTGACCAAGGGGGAAATGAGTCTTAAGGATGAAAAAGTTATTGAATGTGGTCCAGACAGATTTCTGTTCCTATAATTTGTGACCATGCATAAGAAGCAATTCCTCATTAAAAACCTCTTATAATGCTTTTTTGGAAATTAAGAAAAGAAAACTCCGAAGACCTTCCTTAAAATCCTTTGAACAGGATTTCACAAAGAATTCTTCATAGAATGAAAAATATTGAGGACGATCCTCTTCTTCAGACTGTAAAAAAAAAAAAAACAGTGTCTTCAGTCCAAGGCTTCTCCAGCTCCACTTTAGAGCAAAATGACTGGAGCTTTTGTTCTATACATAAAGAATGTCCCTTTTTTCAAAAAAGA